GTCCGACTCTGAACGACTTCGCCGCCACAATGTAGCACCTTTCACTGGGCCTGCTCCGAGCCCACCAGCAACATCCACTGTGCTCTGCCTCAACAACGGAGCTCTGGGTAGATGATCAGTAGGTGGTGCGAGGAGTTGTGGATTGGGAACCTGAACGTGTAAGTAAAAACATTTGCTTTGCCCGATTACCCGGCAACAATTTTAACTATTTGCTTTTTCGCACCTGAAGTAGGCCATTGTTCACAACATTGTTGTACATATTCACAGCTTGTAGGGCTACTATCTGGCGTTCCATCCACATTTGGATCTGATTCTGCCCACCAAGTGCTTGTCGCATTGCATTTTCCAACTGTAAGTAGAGAGCCAATTACTCCCATTGATATCTTCGTGACTAGCCTATTTTAGAAGCCGAGCTTTTATTCCGAATAAGTCGGTTTTGCAAATTTTTTATTTTTGGTGCGACCGGTCGCGAAGCGGCTACTAAGACTGTCAGATCGAAACTGACAGAGTTCGTTTATTGAACATTAGGACCATCAAAAAAGAGGAGTCGTCACGTCTACTCACATCTCATGACAGGTCTGAATTCTATTCGATCTCTTGGCTCCAACATACTTCGCTTCAGAAAGTTTACCCGCTCTGAGCGTGGTAATGAGGTGACAAAAGTAAAGGTCACTCCCCGTTCCGGTCCAAAATCCGTGTTTTCTTGCTGAAGTAATCTCCGCCAGTATAAAGCCGTAATAATTGAGCTCTTACATTCCCTATAACGCTAGCTTTCTTTTCTTTTTTTTTCTATCTACTTATTCCCTAAGCTAGTTTCTCAATTGTTGGTAAACGTTCCGTGACCGCAAAGATATGAATGCGCCACTTAAAGTTTTTTTAATCCAAATTTTTCCCAAATCAGGCAACACAGCATTACATTTTCTCTGGTAACTTCGTGAGGTGGCGATGGAGGAGGCTCTTCAATCGTAGGCTGCCGCGAAGCCAGACGACTGACACTACGCAGATCGGAGTCATCGATTTCAGATTCCTGAAAAAAATCAAGATAAGTACATAAAACTCTATTTGAGCCCAACGAGAAGCCGTTGTAAAGCTAACACATGGGAGCCACTTAGGTAGAACAGTGCCGTGGGAGGGTGAGCGGCATTGTGCCCAAACGGTATGACGCTCGGCGAGACAACTAGCTAAAATTTGCTGGACGCTAGAGTCGAATCGGGTAACGCAACACGCTGCTTGGTTTGATGCAAGGTCCGAAAGTCTGTAGCGTTTATCTCCCATCCATGCAAATCAAAGGCAGGAGCGCCTTCTGTTCGGGACCTGACTCTCCTTTGAAATATCAACCGTACATTCAAAATTTGCCCACATTTATCTAGGAAGGGTAATCGATCGACCATAACTCTGAGACAGTGAAATGATCCCTCCGGGTATTTCCTTCACAACGGTCTCTATATAAGAGCATTGAAGTTATAAATGACTTAGAGGAGTAAATATTGAGCAAAAAGGAACCATCGAGTAACGCTGTTCGGACCAACGTACGGTTGTACTTGGAGGTGGACTGCTGCTGCTTCGCTGCTTGGATGAGCGCTCCTCTTGCTCCTCTTGATACTTTTGCAACAATCTCTTCTTGTACTGTCCACTGGAGGACAGCCGTCGTGAGGTGGCAGCTGGTACCTGAACAGTACAGTTTAAGAAAATATTGACAGGTCCTGCTATTGTAAGCAGCTCTGTTTCACGTACCGAGATCGTTGACTGCATTGCCGTGTCCATACGTTCCTCTTTTGGGGCCATATCACTGTCCGATCGGCTTCGTTCACTGAAAAACGAAGACCACTACATCCTTTCATTTCTTAGAGATAGTAAGATGAGGGTTGTACAAACTTCAAATTCAATAGTGAATGAGCAGGTGTTGAGAAGTTCTGGAGGCCTTTTCGACTTTCATGACCTTTACGTACTTACTTAACTCTTACAACTACAGACTAGAAAGAGTACTTCTAAACACTTTTCCAGCCTACTTGCATGATGAGTATGGAAACATGAACCTGCTTAGAGACTTGAAAAATGAACCCACCGTGATTCAGGATCTAATGCATGTGACTCTGGTACCATGAGGTTATGATGTCCAGACATCGAGCTGCTGCTCCGTATTTGGTCGAAGCTAAAATATAAGAAATTCTACCGATTAGTCGTTACAATTCTCAAAGCGATTCGTAAAAGTAGTCATGAATGTGCATTTATAGTATGAGAACGGGCTGACAACAGCAAGGTGCTAACTAAAATCCAGGTAAACAAAAAAAATTATAATTCACCTGAAATGGTTGAAGCTTCTTGTCAAGGGATTTGGTGACAAATTAGGTGAACGGGCATATGCTGAGTACGGTGTCTCGGTGTCTTCGCAGTCTGAAAACGGCGAGTATGGTGCCGGTGAGAGCATCATACCCGGCGACAGTAGATCCTTACTGCATACATCCGATACACCATCGTCGAGATCGAAACTGAAGCATTCACATAAAAGAGAATTTTTAGATTTTGTAAATAATGTCCAAAAACCAAAAAAAGACAACACAAAATAAACATAACTTTAAAAGCACTGACCTGCTTTTGTGATTCTCACGGAAGATCATCCATGGGGCCAAATTTGCCGATGTGACACTGATCGAGGATCGAGGACTTGAGCCCAGATCAGATGTAGCATACGTCGACATCGGCGATAGCTTGCCATACTCGTAGCCAGAACTCAGCTGAACAACATTCAATCGGTATTAGATCAATATACTGACTGGTATTTAAAACCATATTGTTGCATTATGAACTTCAGGTAACGTTTCCGAGACAGCACTGAAGCCATTCCCTTATCGGGAGGCGGCTTTTTTCTTTCATTGGTGGGATTGGGATTGTGTGGGCCTCCTGTGAGTGCTGTTGCGACGCAATTTTTGGTACTGAACAAAATTCCCGAAAACCACACATTTCCCAAGATTGAGGCCCTCCCAATATTCTGGGCGATGCCCCTTTAAACGCATACTTGGGGAATGACATAAGCGAATTCCGGAAGCAATGTCTATAATCTGTTAGATTTGAAGCCAGCACACAGGGTCTGGGTGGTTGACTCAGAAGCGGTTAGCTCGGTGAACAGGAAAGGCACAAAAGAGGTGCTATAGAAAGGTGACACTGTAGAAGGTACACGGGACAAATGATGATTTAACACGGCCACAGTCAGTGACCTTTGTAGCCGATAGTAAAGATGGCATTTCGAATACTGCGGGCCACCACCCGACAAATTATGAGCCAAACTGCTGGGTTGATCAAAGGGGAGGGGAGGATGGACTCGTAGTTGAACACATTCGGCTTGAGGGACCTGGACATGTCCACATTCCGACCTTAGCTTGCCCCATTGCCAATGTGCCCCCCCCCCAAAGGCTAATACCACACGCGATCATGACGCGGCACAGGTTGCAGCGCCATTGGCGGTCTCTCAGCTCGCCCATAGGCGAGTGAGAAGGGTGATCCTCAAGAGGAAGTACAAGGGAGATCATCCTTCGGGGAATGACTACAAAAGTACAAGGGTTAGGTAAAGTACATTCTCGAGTCTATGCCGGTTTATTTGAGCTTTCTCTTCAAGTGGCCCTCTACCATGTTTGAGTTAACGCGCCCACTGTCACTAGGCTGCTCTCAGCATGAAGTATAAACGATACATTTGAGCGACCATTGAGATGTTGCTCTAGTCGTGCCCGTGGAGAATCATTTGAACATAGAAGATGAACAAGAAATCATAAGCAAAATTACCAAATTGATCCGATGCATGGCGTCCTCAGTGAGGGGGAATGGCCGTCGTAGTCGTGGCGAAGTCGGCGATGACGGCGCTGACGGACCTTGTTCGCAAATTAGTGGAGGCGACTGAAATAAAAATATTGAAAATAAAAAAAAAGCCTGTTCGAGTGAAAGGGATTATGCCGAAGTTGTTGAAATTGAAGTTACGAGAAGGTAAGTGCAATATACGGCAATCGCGAAAATCAATCAATCACAATCAATTCTCTGGGGGTGTTTCAAAAGAACGAAGGGTTTGTACACTGAAAAGTAATACGCTTGCCAGATGCTGTAGGATTTTTGTTGTGGATAGAATTTCAGTTGTTCAGAAGGAGAAACGTCTAAGTAGCTAGCTTCCTGGACGCCATAGATCAGGTTGAGCGCTGAAGTTGGGGTATGCGTGTGGACTTACGTGCGTCCGAGTATGCGCGCGGCAAATTGCGCGGCGAAGTTCGTAACATTTGGACGACTTTAGCGTCTATCATTGAGGCCCAAATTTGAAGTAGCGTAGATGAGAAGAATCATTGACCCTACCAAACTACTCTACTTCGAGTTTATGCCCCGAAAACTGGCGTCAGAGTCGTTCAAATCGTCACGATCTTCGCCGCGCGCCTGCACGGGCGCGGCCCCCTTAAGTTTGTGCATCACTCGTATCTTCTCAAAGAGTAATTTTTCCTAAAGTAGTGATATTATCCTTAGAAAATAAGTTTTCTAAATACAATAGCTGTTAAAGCAAATGAAAAGGCCTACATCGGGCATACAGTATGTTTTACAATTTTTCGATTTTTCACAATCCCTGAGCTAGTTTATGCTGTCAGTGCAACCCAATTGCATCTGAACTCGCCCGACTTTACTCTATAATGATTCTTAGTTCTTATTGCTGACACAAGGTTCATACGAGTTGTAGGTGGCCACATTTAAATCATTCGGAAAAAATCCAGAGTTTAATTAGTCAAAAGCTTGAGGAATAGCCAGGCCATGCACTCTTCATTTGAAGACGCAATTCACGATAATTTTAGGTTACGTAGTTTTAGACGAGCAATGGAAGTGATAGTACAGAATAGTGATAAAGTGGCAAAAAATCCGTGAAAACAGGCATATCTTGAGAAACATGAGGCTTTAAAAAAACTAAAACTAGGGGTTGGTTGAGAATGTTAAGAAAAAACTGCATTGATGAAGTATCTGGTCGAGCAATTCGAACGCGCACCCCATTGCATAGGGCTGGCTGCGACTGCGTACAAGGTGTGGGTCCCGGTGCGAATGGTGCAACAAACACTCGACAACTCGTCTGCCTCGAGTGTCCACATCGGTTAAATCGGTTTCAGTGCCATTTTTACACTTTATTTTGACAGTTTTTCGTCAAGACAGCGTCTCTTACGCTCTCCTTAGGGTCACAGATTCATCCTATGAGGGAATATTGGAAATCTTTTTTTACGTGAACTGTGCTTTCAAAATGGAGTTCTCTCCCGTTGGACATGGTACCTGAAGTCTCAAAGGTTCCGGACCCTCCCGGTTGCGCCATGCACGCGGTCAAGCTTCGATGATGATTTGCGGCTTCAAAACACGATAACCGTAATCACCCGTTGTTACCACGCCGCAATCATTTGGAGCTGGCAGTTATATTGCGCGCTCCAATTAGCCATTGGCTGCTTTCATAGTCCGCTGAGCGACCGGCGGTCTATGAAAGCAGCCATTGGACTTCTGCGATACGCCGCGGATGCGAAGCACCGTTCAAGCACAAATTCCCCACGCCCAGAACAGTTTCAGACTTTTTTGTCTCCAGATGGACACATAAACATAGAAAGGAGGCATGCGAATGAACATGTTTAGACATGTAATGAATGTGGAAAGGTATCAATGAAACGACGCCAACGCGAGGGAACGTGTTAGTGATGCTGCTGGACGTGTTTTCATCTCATGCGAACTCGCCCAGACACCAATGTCTTTTCGATCTTCCCCGACATCCTTAGAATTCGCTGCAAAATACTCCATCCCTAGATTCTCTGCAGTGTTTTAAACACTTTTAGTTTTCATTTCTCACCCACAACTATTCCCTTGCCTCTTAGCAGATGCCAGCCTTATTGCTAGAAAGAATTCATAGAACAGGATAAGAAATCTAGACACACGACCGTTCTGTCGCCGGACTGACCCGTGGGACCTTCGAAATCTTTTAAGAATTTCCTACCAGCACCGTTACCAGACCATAATGGTTCTAGACACTTCAATGTTATGAAAAAAAAACAGGATTAGGAGGAAAGAATGAGAAAAACTGAGCGGGGCCGCTGTGTTCGAAGGCGCGGGTGGCGGCAGACGGATGGAAGAGGTAACGTGTGTTGTACCAGCTGACGCCATTGACGTTGCACTTGACACAAGCGCTAGCTATCAGTTTTTGGATTGAAAAGCACAGGGGTGAAAGAAATCAGGCGAATATCAGAATAATCGAGTATTGAATGAATTACATGGAGCGACAGCCTGTTAGGAAGCTTTCCAAGAGACTAAGGCCTGAGCAAATTGGAGTTTACTAGGAATTTTTTGAAAACGAGTTCTACATCAGCAAAATAAGCTAGAGCTACTGAGAAAGTATCCGGCAAATGGAAGTGACAACATGCGGTGTTGTCACTTGTATAAAGGATTAGAAGCGAAATATTCATAGCTCAAGGTCTGTCAAGTCGCCTGGTTTTCCAGCCTCAAAATGGACGAGCACGCGCAATCTTAGAGCAACTGGAACCGGAAAGGCGCGTCACTTACACGCGAACTCATCCTCTATATAAGATAAGCATTCGACTGTCACATTTGAACACGAGGCAGCCTACTCTACGTCGCTTACGAGGGCCGATTCTGTTTATGAGGAAGGTACGGTACTTTACGAAGAATTGTCCATGTACGACTCTCTACAAATCTCGGCATGCTTCTTTGGAAAAAAAATTAATCGGAGGGAAAAGTGCGTGGCGGTTACCTTAGAGCTGGCGCCGTTTGCTGCACTATGTGGGTTTTGACCTACGCTGTCGATCCCGCGCGGGGTCCTTTTGAGGAGGCTTGATCTACGTGATCAGCCCCTCGGAGTTCCCTGGAGCAAGTTGACTTGAGGCTCACCCTACTTAAACCGCAGCCCTACCAGCTTGGGGTGATCGGTGGACCACAAAGGTCGGCTATCCCACAGGTTAGTTAACAACTTCCGGCTTCCTACTGGTCCACGCCCTTTGAACTCTTTTTGTAGGTTGAAATAGTTCTTGATCGGATGGTTTTCCAAGTGCCTTTTGTCTTTCCAGGCTCCGAAGAAGGTGAAGGCACCGACACGTCAGCCTAATAAACAATGTTGCAATCTCGGTTGTCAGCTCAAAAGAAAACCTCAGTACGGTACTTTAATTCATCAAGGATTGTGTGATGATTGGGTTGGTTTTGAAGGTACATCCAAAGAAGGCGGTTCTGCCATAAATTGAAGGCACAGTTCACGATAATATTGGTGTGTTCTTTTTGAGTTGGGAGCGGAACTATTGACGTAGAGCAGTACATCGTTGGCGACGAAAGCGAGAAAATCCGCGGGAAATAATGTTTTTCAAAAGTAGTGGAAATAGAGGTTGTACGAGATTACCATGACGGGAATGGCATGTAAAGGGTGTTTGGACGAGATTTGACTTGCTCCCGTTGCGCAAAGTGATGACTACATCAAGAAATTGCCCGAAACTCCCTTTCACTATCACCATGGGTTATGACAAAGAGTTTGAACTTCTACAAGGGAGTCCCTTGAGATAGTGCAGCCTCTAGAACGCCCTCGAAACTCGTCCACTATGGGTGTGGCATTTACATGATACAATCTCTGATCTCTTACTGTGCCCTGTCCTTGACGTTTTTCGACTTTATAACAGCAGGTACGGTATAAGGAAGAGCCTCGAATTCATACTACAGAGAAATCTCAGGAACCATTTCTATCGTGAACTGTGCCTTTAGGCTATTGATATGTTATGAACCTCGGGCGGAGTTATATTAATAGAGTGTTTTCGACAATAATGCCGAGGTTTGCCGAGGGACGCACGTGGAGATTGATCCGCAATGTCCCTGCCTATTATGACCAAGGAATCATTAGAATTTCGACCTTCAGCCACGTATTCCATTTCTCCCCAGAAAGTCTCCACAGTCTAGAGCGCCACATGTGCCACACACACACGACACTTTGGAAATTTTCAGCTTCAAACCATCTCCCATTTTCCCATGCACTTCGTTTTCTTGAGCTTAAAGTCTTCAGCCATAACCCTCTTTGCTCGTCTATAATTCATCATCCTTTCCTAGACCCGTTCGAATAGCAGGCCATTTCCGTCGACCCGCTTCCTAGAACGAGCCCGAATTACCCACTTAACAGAGGCTCGAAAAACTGCCCAGCTAAGGGCTTAGGCTAATAGTTCTTGACAGCTAACAGCTATGGAAATGGGAATATTATGGCATTTGTTGGGTGCAAAATAATGGAAATCCTGATCACCTTCAGCATTCTTCTTCTATCATCGTAGCCTTGAGATTCATCGTTCCCTGGAATGACGAGAACTGGAGGACGGTTCACCATTGATGGACCGGGATTAGCAGCTGTTTCTGAAAAAAAAATCCCTCATCAAAAAATCAAATCCGAAGCAGGAGAAAATATTATGAGGATCCGCTGGGCACGATTTACATGCCTATTTCCCTCATAATTTCAAAATCATCTTTCTGACAATATACATAATTTCCTTTCTTGAGGGTATTTTCCCTTTACACTCTATCGAGGGTAGGCGCATAGCTGCTCAGGGTGGGATTTGAACTCGAATTAGCGGCTTCTATGCCCGACTTTGCCTTTTTTTGGTAAAGAGCCACACAACCCCTCAAAGTTTTCTGGTATATTTCAAAAGAAAATGGCACTTTATTCAGTGGAACAACTATTTTTTACTACTCCATGGCTACTATGTGCTGGTTTGCATATCACACTACATCATGTGGTGACGAATGTTTATGGGTAGTGATGAGTTCAGCGCAGCGCACAGGGTGCGCGATTTCTGGCCGAGTTCCCACGGTCGCGCGCAAGCGCAAATCCCAGTGGTCTCGCCAGTCTTTGAAGTGCAGTTACCGTTACAACTCATTGGACCAAAACAGTGTTCACATCTAACATATACACCGCGTGGCCGATGGGACACGCCAATCGGCCGTATCACCCTTAGCTCAGTGGTAGCGGTAAATCAGTGGGAGAACTACAGGCTAAAGTTCGATTTGAGGCTCTGCTAAGACAGCAAATTTTGTCTACAACTCTTTACTTTTCTATGGCATCAATATAGCGCTATTGGCACGATAGAGTTAGCGCAAAGCTTTTCGATTTTCATCAGATTACTATCAAAGATATCCTGCAAAGAAATCCGATATCCTGCAAGGAAACCTGACGCTTCTGTTCATATATAAATCTGCTGTTAGCGTGCGAGGGAATGTATGGACTAAGCTCACTTGATGGGGGACGAATTTTCGTCAAAAAAACTACTACTGATTTTCTACTGGGTAATAAAACTACGAAAGCAGATCAGATCTCTACTATTTCTCATGGGGCGTGGCCAAAATTCGGTTTGTAAAGAACGTGTATGGACACGAAAGAGGCACAAATCTAGAAATCTAGGCCAAAGTGAATTTTTTAGTAATGAGCTACTTCAAAGCACATAGATTATTGTTGACCATGAACAATTAACTTTTTCTTCGATTTCCTATCTGAATCCAAGCCTCCTATATAAGTTGAATTACAGTGAAAGTGCAAACTAAAGATTGCATCAAGAAAGCAAGTAAATTCGCATATGCGAAATATATATGGTTGTTCAAAAATGGCCAATTTGGAGGATTGAACGAGATTATGACGACCAAAAAGGTATTCGGACGAGATTTCAGTCGTGTGTAATCGCGTAAACAATTAGGACAGCCATCCCTGCAGCAAGAAATTGCTTTCCTCTACCGCCAGCTGATCGTAGGCCTCTTTCCGCCTAGTTGCCTTTGTCGAGACCTTCAACGGGACAATAGTAGACCTACGAACTACCATTCTGTGGAGGTAGGACAGTAGTAGGCTTACTACTGCACCTTCGGAGCCTTTTCGACCAAAGCTTTACAATTATGACGCCGACGAAGTTACCATTTGTTAATTATACTAGTTGAAGCCTTCCATCTTCAGTTTACTTTATATTTTACAATTGAGAAGAACTGCTTACCGTGAAATTCTTCTACATTCAAATGATTGCTCATTCGTTGAGGGTTTTCACGGAAGTTGACCACTGAACCACAATAGCTGGCAGCCACCCACAAGCTTTTCTATCTGAAATAGATGCACATAGGTTTCACTCTGAATGCCTCAAATTTAAACGAAAATCGGACAATCATACGAGAAACGAGCGAGAAGTTTTGGCAATTCGTCGACCGATTATGATTTCCAAGGGCGGGTCCAGCCGTGAACGCCCACGACTTGACGAGTTACAAGACCTTTCATCCACTCGCACTTCAGTGAATGCAAATGAATAAAATACGGGTTTCGGCACGCGACATTTTTAACAAAAACAGAAACAATGGATCACAAAAACAAAGAAATTGCAGGTCCAATGAATATTAAAAACCGAATTGAACCAGAACTCCACTTCCACCCACCTTCACATTCTTTTTCTTCTACTGCATCGGGTTCGGGTGGTTTACTGTAGGATCAGAGCGATAACATAGGCTTTTTCTGCAGAGCAGAAGTTATAAGAGTACCTAACACATCGGATATCTCCCCATTTCCCTACCTATCCATCTCAAGCTTCCTTTTTGGCTCAAGTTTGATCTTTTCCCTCCAAGTATCCCCTTTCCTCTGCTAGTTCATTCAAATAAAATTGACCCAATGCTAACTTTTCACCCTAAGAAATCTTATTTTCACTTTTCGAGATTGTTGGTGAAATAGGAGGGTTTGCGGAAAATCCGAACATATCAAAGGAAGATGCGGACTGCTAGGACCTTCACGAGCTGCACCAAACCCTCGAAATTAGGAATTCCATACCCGTTAAAGCAATGTAAGAAGGGCAACCTGGCTGTGAGTGAGAAAAAAAGCGTTTTTTCAGGAAGTAACCTGGGTGACTTCCGTTATTGTTGGGTGGAATAGGAGAAAAAACTGGGAAGAAAACTTGGAAAGAAAACTTGAGCCTATGAAAGGAAGAATCAAGCGAAAAGATTGCTGTCAACCTGAGCAGCACTAAACTTTTGAAATCAAGATTTCCATCACCGCTAAAGCAACGTAAGAAGGGCAATTTGGCTGTGAGTGGGAGGGGAAAGCGGCTTAGTGGGAAAGACGGAGGCGTCATCCGAGAAATAAGAAAGAAAGCAACGTCACTGAAGTTACTACCTGAAAAACAAAACGGCCCTTGCAGGAAAGCCTTCACAGTAAAATTAATGGACCCAAATCGTGATTGTTCAAGAGGAAATTGCTCTGTGGGACGTGGCCTCTTGGGGTGGATCCTCTTGTTTGGTTATCTGGCCGGCCCATCGCCCAGAGGGACAAGCTCCTGTCCGACACATCGTCTTACGGGGCTAGCTTCTGCCCGGCACATGCGGGGCAAGCTGATGCAGTGGGTAGCGGCGCTTTTGCCCTTACAGACATGTCTGCTACTAATTAAAGGAACGCCAAAGAAATTGAAGGCTTGATAGGATGAGGGGCATGAGGGTTAATCCTCTCTCAGACAGACACTTGTTCATGAAAACAATTTTTATGATGGAGTGAAGATAGCTTTGAATCGATATCCTTACTACCTGCAGCAGCAGGAAGAACAGAAGAAAGAAAAAGCAAAAGGAAAAAAAAGAAAGCAAGGAAAGAAACAGAAAGTTGCACAACTGAATTTCAAAAACCAGCGCAGTTGTGATGTGTGTCGACAAGCAACTCATAACTGGCTCTTTTCTTCGGACAAATTCCACGGGAATTTGGTGGAGGGATTGGCATAATTTCACAGTCAACTTTATCATGATAAAAATGCATTGAAAATCTTGTGATTTATTTCGCGTATGTCACCGGAGATGTTCGACCAACCAATGGTAATAGTTCTAGTTCGGATGGTTGAACAATTCAGAGCTCATTTTCAGGGGTAATGATAGAGAGCGGAATTCTGAGCTTTAAGATACCGTTAGTAAAAATTACATAAGCAGACTGAAGAAAATTGAAGGTGAGGAATTGGTGTTGTCCCTTTTTACCTCCCATGTTAGCATTGCCGGCATCTGTCTGCAGACTGGCTTCATCTCATGTCCCCACGAAGGTGTACACTGAAGAAGAAGTGGCGGAAGGCCTTCGCTGATCAGATACTCGGAATGGGAATAGGTAAGTGAAGCAGCACCAACAAGTTGGGTTTGCGTCAGGACACGCCCCTGACCCGAGTCCCCAAAATCATTGCTCGTTCAGCGATTGTATTGACATGTCCTACATCCGGTAGTTGCCCATAGAAGAATCCAAGACGGCAATAAGAAGAGGGAAAACTGGCGTCTACCACTACTCATGGTTATTGTGTCACATACACAAAAAGGAAATATTGTGGATCTCTGAATTTCGGTTAGAGCTCGAAATCACAGCGGCCGTCTCAGAGGAATTACAGTGTACAGTCTATGTTCCTATCGTGCAAGAGGGGCACTATCACACACGCATGGTCACGGGTTCGAATCCCTAATCGATCCCCGCCTGAGCCAAGCCTTCCATCCCTTCGAGGTCGGTTAATTGGTTCTAGACTCGTCAGATAGGCCAAAAAAGCTCTGACTTGTTCACCGGCTGGCCACCACAAGTCATTGTATAGGCCCCATACACTTTTGATAAGCCACTATGGTTCTGAATGGAAGCCGAATGCAGGGCCGCATCCCTCAGATGGGATTGATTAACGCCAAATGGCTTCATTCTTTGTCTTTAATACCAGTTAGTAATTGTATTTTCTTGGGCAGAGGTGTGGTAGTGACAAGTGACACACACTGTCACACACATGGTCCTGGGATTGAATCCTGGCCACCCTTAGTTAGTGTAAAGCTGCATACCTTCTCAAACACTTCTATGATTCCGAATGAAAGTTCATTACAAGGGCCTATCCAATGAACTGAACTGATCATCATCAAAAGATTACTTTGTAGTAGATAGCATTCTGGAAATAAAAAGTTGGGCATGCCTAGATCTGGATAGGTCTCATAGTGAAGAGGCTCGACTGGGATGCAGAGCGACAGAACGGGGATACAAACACCTCACTGGTTTGATGCTGGCATCAAGTATCAGAAGTGGAACATCAATAAGAATGATTACGTAGCAAGATAAGAAGGCCGAGTAGCAGCAAAATCAATCTGTGATGGATAGTTAAGAAGGATGATAAAGTAAATTCCCAGAAACTGTGTGAACTACTGGATACTGTAAGCTGATAAACGAAAATAGATGTAGAGAGCATCTAGTGGCTGTTCTGGCTTATATGACGAAATAATCCAGTAATCTTAGGATGTCGATCGGATTTGATCGTAAAGGTCATGTAGCACGGCGCCTCCTGTCCTATTTTTTGGTCGTAGTCTTGCCAACAAAATTCATGAGCC